CTATTAGTCGTGCATTTTTAAATATTTTCAAATCCTTTTATTAGGCGTGGATTGTTTTAAAATAATGTTTAGGCCCTCTTTTAGGTGAGGATTTTTAAAATTATTTTTAAGGCCTTCTTTTAGGCGAGAATTTTTTAAAATAAGTTTTTACGTCTTCTTTTAGGTCAGGATTTTTAAAAAGATTTTTTAGGACTTCTTTTATGCGAGGATTTTTTAAATTATTTTTTCAGAGCCTACTATTAGGAGATAATTTTTTAAGGCCTCCTTTTAGGCGAGGATTTTTTAAATTATTTTTTTAAAGCCTATTATTAGGTGTGTTGTTTTTTAAGAATAGTTTTGACGAATTAGAAATGCTAAAAAACCATTACCTTACTGTAAAGTTGATTTTTCTCATTTTCCAATGACTGCACCTTCCTCTGTTCCCCAGACAAATTTGCTTGCAATTGCCGTTGTTCCGCCATAACCTTAAAAAGATTTGAATTTATTTGTGATATCATAGCATTTAGATTTTCGATTTCTTGATCTTTGGCCGAATTTTGTTGTTCTAGCAATTCTTTATCGGCCCTAAGACTCATCAAAGATGTCGTCAGAATTTCACAAGATGACTTGACATTGGTTATATCTTCCAGTGATCGCTTCAGCTGGCAATTGAGTTCATCGTTACGTTTTTGTTCCATCCGGAATAACGAATTGAATACATGCAGTTGATTGCGGGCCTTAATTGCCTAAAAACGAAAACAAACAAAATCAAAATTCGAAAATTTTGAAATAATTTAAAAACAATGTTTTTAAGAACTTACACAACGTTTTAGTTCGGTAACTTCCTGCTGCAGACGTTTCACCTCTTCACGGCGTTTACGCCAGGCATTTAACATGATAATGGAAAAAATTCTCAACCCAGCCATTTGTGATTCCAGTTGGTTATTATGATTCGTGTAACCGATTACATGATTACCATAGCCATACATTTTGTGTATAATCGATGAGGACTGCTCATTAGTTGCCCCGGTATAATAAGGTATACCCTGACATTCCACAACTCCACCATGACTTTTAACTATCATTGATTTTGGCGGAACTTCATTGTTCTTTGCGGAATAATTCGAATTTCGACAAAAATGTTTCATATCCATTTGTGATATTGATTTTCGTGAACGATATGCCAAAATCAGACCAGTTTTTTGACGTTGCAATACGGCCGTGGTTATAGTTTCTTCCTGTGTTGTTATAGATCTGCTATTTAAATCACTGGTTACAGAATTTAATGATTTATTTGAAGACGATGGCGTTAACAACAAAGATCTGGGAATTTGAGATTTGCTTAATGATTTTTTTAACTGCGTGCTATTTGTCGAAGAAGAAGAATTTTGTAATTTTTAAGAAATGTATGAACTATATATTATTCGCGATATAAAACAAGGAAAATTTCAGGAAAAACATTTTAAAAGAATGAAATAACAACTATTTTTTTATAAAAACTTCAAACAAAAAGCAGTTCGACAACAATAAAATTTCGAAATGTTGAAAATGACACATTTTGAAATTTCAGGAAAACTGTATATAATGGAATGTAACGAAAAATTTGTGAATCGAAAAAACAGAGGATTAAAAAAAAATAATTTCATGTAGGGACACTCACAGAGAAACGTGTAAAGATTTGGAATCGATTGGGTTATTAGTTTTTTAGTTATCGTGCCTGCCATTCGCCAAAGAGAAAAACGCGTTTAAAGTTTGAGAAGCTCTTTAGCCGTCACTTGATGCTGACACAATAAATCGGCTATATCTTCAAGAGTTCTTGAGATTTTCACTTGAAATTTTGTACTCTAGAATTAGAGTAGATTCGAATTAAATCAAAAAAATTTTGACACCGAGAATGTACACTGTGCCAAATTTCATGCAAACGAAAGCTGTAGGGGACTTTGGTGCCCCATTTACCTTACATCGGACGAATACATATATAGGAGCTATATCTAAACCTGAACCGATTTCCACGAAACTTAACACACATCGTTCTAGACTTAATTCAGTACGCTATGCCAAATCTCGTGCAAATCGAAGGATATATAGGGACTTTGGTGCACCATTTACATAAAATCGGACGAATATATACATGGGACCTATATCTAAATCTGAACCGATTTTCACGAAACTTAACACACATCGTTCTAGACTTAATTCAGTACGCTATGCCAAATTTCGTGCAAATCGAAGGATGTATAGGGACTTTTGTGCACCATTTACATAAAATCGGACGAATATATACATGGGAGCTATATCTAAATCTGAACCGATCTTCTCGAAACATGACACACGTCATTCTAGACACAATTCTGTATACTATGCCAAATTTCGGCCAAATCGAAACATATATAGGGGCTTTGGTGCCCCATTTACCTTAAATCGGACGAAAATATATGTAGGAGCTATATCTAAATCTGAACCGATCTTCTCGAAACTTGACACACTTCATTCTAGACACAATTCAGTGTACTATGCCAAATTTAGTGCAAATCGAAACATATATAGGGGCTTTGGTGCACCATTTACATAAAATCGGACAAAACTATATATGGGAGCTAAATCTGAACCGATTTTCACGAAACTTAGCACACATCATTCTGTACCTAATTTAGAACTCTATGCCAAATTTCATGCAAATCGAAAGATATATAGGGACTTTGAAGTTCCATTGATCTTAAATCGGACGATACTATAACGGGAGCTATATCTAAATCTGAACCGATTTTTCTCAATTTCAATGGGGTTCGTCCTTGAGCCAAATAAGTGACTTGTGCCAAAGTTTATCCCAATCGGATCATAAATGCGACCTGTACTTTGTTTACAATTTAACATCTACAGACGGACGGACGAACGGACATGAATAAATCGACTCAGAAAGTGATTCTATGCATATTCTCAAAAGGAACCACATGTCAATCTCCTTTCCTTTTGCCTGTTACAAACATATGCACAAAATATTGTCAGGGGCGTTTACAATGCGTAAATTTATGAAAGAAAATATTCTTACGGTATGTTACAAGGCGTGGAATTTGAGATCCTTTAACAAAGCGTGGATTTTGAAGGAAAATATTCTCAGCCTATTTCAAGGCGTGCATTTTCAAGGCCTTTTACAATGCGGTGATTTTTTTTAATATTTTTTAATCACCTATTGCAAGACCCGGATTTCAAACAAATATATTTTAAGGGATATTACAATGCCTGGATTTGGCCTATTTGAATGGCTATTAAAAAGCCTGGTTTGAAATTAGAATGTTCAATTCCGTTTTCAAGGCATGAATTTAAAAAATATTATTATTTATTTTTAAAAAAATATAAATAAATTTACTTACTTTGCATTTGCTATGGATTTCCTGGAAACACGTTTTGAATTCGATTTGCGAATTTTATTTTTTCCCTGCGAACCAATACTTGGACGACCATGTTTCGGATTTTTCAATAGTATTTCTTTTTGATTTTGTGCATTTGAAGACGATGCTGGGGAGGACGAACGATCGGTACTCCTTCTAGTGTCCGAAGCTGATGTATGAGTATCAGCTTCACTGCTGTTATCTGGTGTTATTTCCAATGGTGGTATGGCGGTCAAGACAACTTCGGGCATTTCGATTGTTGCTTTTCTTTATTTTATCGGTAGTAAAATGAGGATATTAATTCTTTTAGTTTTGAAAAATTGTGTTTTTTTGTATTTATATTTATTGTTCAATATAATGACAGTGCAAGCATTGAAGTAGTAGAAGTTTTTAAAAAAATTATGTACAGTGAAAATTGTCGAAACCAAGGTCAAAACACATATATGGGAAGTGTCAGCAAGAAATTTTAAGGATTGGATATGTTAGAATATTTTTTTAAACAAAAAATAACAAAAAAATAACAAAAAAAATAACAACAAAAGCGCGATTTTTTAACCGATTTTTAAGTATTTTTTCAAGAACTTCCATTGTTTTTAATATGACATTTTTTTAATATTTCCAAGAACTATCAAAAGAGTAGCCTTAAGGACTATCAAGGATAATCAGGAAACATGATGTTTGTAAAACTTGTTTTAATGAAATTCAGAATTTTTTAGAAGTATTTCTGGATTTTTTAAGGACTATCAGAGAAGCGTGATATTGCTAAATAATTTTTCAATGACACTCTGGAAATCAATTTATTGATATCTTCTCAAGGATTATCGAAAAGCATGAAATTTGTAAACAATTTTTAAATAATTGTTTCCATACAACTAATTCTTGTGGTTTAAATTTAATTTTTAAAATATATTTTTAAAGACATACCGTTAATAAACTTCACTTCAGGCCAGACAATTAATAGAGAATTTTTAAAATCTACTCATCTACTAGACAACTTGAATACAATTGTTTTTTTTTCCATTCAAAAAAAAAAAACTAACAACAGCAACAAAAACCACAACCATGATGAAATATGAAATTAAAACCTCTAATAGCTTTAAAGTGGTCTAGAGCAAATACTTCAGCATAAACGAAGCAATTACCACAATTTAATACAAATTGTGGTGGTGGCCAACTATATTATGTGGCTAAGCTACCTTCAGGGCGATTATATGTGTTGTTCCACCTATTTTTTCGGTTGCATCCAAAAACCAACACTTGTCCATTTTTTAACATTTTATTTTATTCTCGAGGAAAATGTTTTATAGAACAAAGATAATTGGGGTTTTTTGTTAAATTGTTGTATATACGAGAACATACATACCTTCACATATTTGTTTTTTTTTAGTTGCAATTTATATATATTTTTAAAAAAATTTTAGTATCACATCAAATCACTGGTTTACCTCATACACCCTTGCAAATTTTTACAACATAATTTTTTCTAGCTAAACTATTTTCTACCCCACTTTTTTGTTGTAGTTGCAATTTTTTATTATTTTTGCTATTCTTTTTTTGTGTGTAAAGAATTTAATTCCATTCACATTGTTAATTGTTGTATGTTTTTTTTTTCGTTCTTTCTCCTCTCTCTAGCCTCGGCCCCTGTCATGGAGGTGCCACCACAAAACGTAACCGCTTTAGATGGTAAAGATGCAACTATTTCCTGTCGTGCTGTCGGTGCTCCCAATCCAAACATCACTTGGATTTACAACGGTAAGTGTTGTTGTCGTGAAACTTAACTAACCAAAAAAGCGAAAAACAAAAAACTGAAGCAGAAACAACAAAAAAATTAACAGACAGAACATTTTTTTCGGAAAAAATCTGCAAAATAACTTTTTTGGTGGGTTTTGAAAAACCCCATGAATTTTTTGTTCATTTTTGGTCCACCGACACTTTGCTTCTGTCGTTTTGCCACTCTCCACATGAAAGAGGCGAAATAACACTAATGTTATTTAACAGCAGTGGATAAATTCATAATTTATGTTTTTTCGAGTGCGAAATTGCTTTGCGGCCACGAAAACAAAATATTTTTTTCTGGGGTGGTGGAAACAAATTAGATTTAGAGGTTTATTTGTTTGAGGTTCAGAGAGAATGAAAAATATAAAAAAAATATTAAAGAAGACAAAACTGGAGATGATTCACAGAATAAGAGATTGGATACCTTGAACTTATTTCTTAAGGACCATATAAAATATTTAAAAAAATATTTTTCAAGGACTATCTACAACCTTGGATTTTTTAGATAATATTTTGAAGGGGAAGAAAATATATAAAAATGTAGATGTTAAAAAATATATTTTTAAGGATTAGAAACAGATCACGAATTTTTTAAACCAATTTTTCAAGGATTATCATAGCGTGGATTTTTAAAATATAATTTTCAGTGACAATCTTTTCACCGTTGTCAAATTTTTAAAGGACTACCATACTATTATGTATTTGTGCATATGTTTGTAATAGGCAAAAGGAATCGAGATAGACCCAGGGTTCCTTTTGAGAATATGCATAGAATCACTTTCTGAGTCGATGTATGCATGTCCGTCCGTCTGTCTGTTGATGTTAAATTGTAAACAAAGGACAGGTCGCATTTATAATCCGATTTGGATGAAATTTGGTACAGCTCATTTATTTGGCCCACGGAAGAGCCCTATTGAAATTTGTGAAAATCGGTTCAGATTTAGATATAGCTCCCATATAAAATTTCATCCGATTTAATGTAAATAGTGTACCAAAGTCCCAATATATGATGCGATATGCACGAATTTTGGCACAGCGTACTGAATTCAGTCTAGAATGATGTTTGTTAAATTTCGTGAATATCGGTTGAGATTCAGATATAGCTCCCATATATAATTTCGTCGGATTTTATGTAAATGCGATATGCACGAATTTTGGTATTGCGTACTGAATTAAGTCTAGAACGATGTTTGTAAAATTTCGTGAATATCGGTTCAGATTCAGATATAGCTCTCATATATAGTTTCGCCCGATTTTATTTAAATGGTGTACCAAAGTCCCTATATATATATATATATATATATATCTTTCGATTAGCTCGAAATTTGGCATAGCGGACTGAATTAAGTCTACAGTGATGTGTGTTAATTGTTGTGAATATCAGTTCAGATTTATATATAACTCCCATATATATGTTCGTCCAATTTAAGATAAATGGTGTACCAAAGTCCCTATATATCTTCCGATATGCACGAAATTTGGCATAGCGTACTGAATTGAGTCTATAATGATGTGTGCTAATTTTCGATTCAGATTTCAATATAGCTCCCATATATATTTTCGTCCGATTTAATAGAAATGGTGCGCCAAAGTTCTTATATATCTTTCTTCAATTTCATGCCAATGTTATTTCGAAAAGGCGACGTCTGTTATGAGACTATGTAGAATATACCCAAAGTGGTGAAGGGTATCATATAGTCGGCCTAGTTCGAATTTACTACTTTCCCCACTGGTTATTATTGAAGAACATAGCATTTTATGTAATAATTTGGCGTTATATTCAAATTTTATATATGTACGAAAAAAGAGTACAAAAATTGTACCAAACGAAAACTTTTAATCGCAAAAAATTAATACAAAAATATTTGGAAGTATGAAAAATTCTTGCGGTACGTAAAATACCAATGTTTACGACCAAAACAATTTTTACAAACAAAAGTTTTTAAGTATAATGAAGATTATATTAGTGCAAAAAATACAAAAGTGTTACAAACAAATTTTAACAATATTTAAAAAAAATTTTTAAAATAATTTTCTACTACAATTTGAAAAATTTCGACAAAAAATAGAAGGCATATCTCTGAGCTAAATCTTTTGAAAAATTTCTGCTCTTTTTTTTACAAAATTAAATATCAAAAAATTTTATAAAAAATGGCATGATTTAAGATATTATTGTTGTTTATTTAAGTTATAAATATTTTTATATGTACTAATCACCAATTGTTTTTCTTTATTTTTTCTCTCTCCTCTCTTTTTTTGCTACTGCAAATAAATTAAATGTTTAACCAACAAATCAACTTACCAAACTGCGCTTACTAACCAAAATTCAAACTGCAATCAATTAAATCAATTGGTTTGAATAATTGCTAAATAATAACAACAACAACCAAAAATCTCCCTCCAACAACAACAACGAACAACCGATCCGAAACAAAAATCACAAAACCCCAAACTGCAATAAAAACTTCACTTAAAATGTCATTTAAAAATGGATTACTTTATGGCGCCATTACCATCATCATCATATATCCCTATATTGCACACCCACCCATGGATTATTGGATATATTCCCTTTGCAAAACTCTTGTATATATATGCAAATAAAAAAACCCCAATGAACACCAAACAAACAACCATGCAACCAACAAAATGTGAAAAACAATAATTATCATGGCTCTTTCTCTCTATTTGATAACAAAAATAACAACAACAAAACCCATCATTTAATGTCCAATCTAAAAATTCTAAATGACTTTAATTGGCGGACCAAATACCAACATCACCACTGTGTAATATGCCATCATGCTTGACATGCATCGTGCGGCGGGGTGCAATGGTGCAAATAAATATTTGATGCAACATTAATATATGTGTGTGCATTACATGGTGTCTGTATCACTGTATGTGTGCGCGTTTGTGTTGTCTATAAAAACATTACTGTCATCATCGTCATCGTCATACCATAATGCCATTGAAAACACTTTGGCTATGTTTGGCGTCATAATATCCACTTAACTTGGCGAAAAATACCTTATACAACATTGCTGGTGTCATCGTTGTTATGCTGTGGTGCAATGTGGCATGCCACAAATGGCACAAACCATTGACGGTAATATTTAATATTTACACCATTGCTTGCAATTGTTGGGCGCCACAACCATATATAATTTTTTTCTCTCGTCGCTCGCACCCCACTCTTCTGCTGTTTTTGGTAAAAAAAACACCGAACTGCGTAACGCATTACCAACCAACGAACCGGAAATACATGGGTTTGGAAAACAACATACATGTATTGTGTGTGTATGTGCCTTTGCCTGTGTGTGGGTGTGAAAACTTACATTTACTGCACCGAAACCCACCGAAAAAAAAACGATCAATTGACACACACACCAACACCATTCACCATATTTACATGCTGATGACAACACCATTTATCCTGGCGGTGGGATCCTCCCTGCTCGTTCTCACCATGCATTTTATCGGTGTCTGTGTGCTGGTTTCTCTCTATATGGACTTAATGGTTGCTTTTACCACAAACGACGACGACAACAACAACATCATCATTAACAACACCATTATCGCCATGATGTGACGATGATGGTTGGATGTGTCGGCGGGATTCACATGGTGGTGGCCAACAATTAAATGGAACGCACAAAAACACGACAACCTGTACTTCTTTTTTGGATCCTGCTTGTGTGTGTAAAATGCAAATTCTTGCCAATTTTACAAAATTTGCATATTGTCGAACTCCCTCCCTCCCGCACAACATGGTTGTTTGGGGTTTCAACGACAACATTTCTACTTACACCATTTTTCGGACGCGCTACATTATATTGACAAAACCCCTACACCGCCTCCTAAAAAACTTCGATTCGATTGCGTTTCGATTAACAGAAACTCACCTTGTTGAAATTTCAAGCCGCATACAAATTTTGGAATCTGGAGATTTATTAATTTCAAATGTACGCGAATCGGATGCTGGTCTCTATACCTGTGTACGTTCGAATGAAGCTGGCACCGTTAATGGTGAGGCGTATTTAGGTGTTTTGGGTAAGTACATAGAAAATCAAATGCACATAATTGCACTGAAAACCTTTGATGGGATTTTGCTACCCTCCCAGATAGACTAACTGACTAACAAACACAAAAAATTAACATAATGCTACATAAACATAACTCTGCATATCTACATACCAACAAGCAAACATTTTTATTTTCATAACATTAACTTGCATCATGATGTTGCATGCATGTTTACATATACATTTTTTTTTTTTTGTTTACAACATTGTTTTTGACAGCTCATTTCACTTTAGCGGAATTTTAAAACTGGGAATCCTCTTTTTAGAGGCAACGATTTTGACATTAAACGGGATTAATCGTATTTTTTGAAAATTATGAATTGTATACTTAATTTTAAGAAATTTGTTCATATATTTTAGCTGCTCGAAAAATGTTCGGAAGAAAATATTTGGAAATTCCCATTTTTAGGGCTTTTTGACATTAAATTGATAAATTGTATTTTTTTCAAGTATTAGGTATAATGTACTTATATTTTAGGTACTTATTCGTATAATAAACTTGCTCCCAAATTCTGAATATTCACATTGAATATTATTAATATACATTTTAAAGCAATTAGGAATTTTGGTACTTAAAATTCATATTATTGTTCAAATATTTCACTTGCTATAGAAATTAGTAGAATTGGATGGACGTTTATTGAATTAACATTAGGAATTTTATACTTAAATTCCGGGTACTTGTTTATATATTACACTTTATTACAAATTATTATTTTTAAGGGGAAAGATATTGCCCTTATATGGTACAAATGGAAATGTTTTAAACAATTATGAATTATATTCTTAAATTTCATGTACTTGTTCATACATTTCAAAAACTGGTGAAATTAGCAGAATTACAATTATAAGGACATTTCATTATTTCTTTAAATTTTTTAAAAATAACCATAGCGAAATAATAATTAATAATTTTTTATGTACATTCTATGAAAATGTTTCATAAAATTAGGACATGTTTTTAAAAATGTTCGGTAGTTATGAAAATTTATCATTATTCCTATTGTTTTTTATTTAATTTTTATATTTTCTATTTATTGAATATTTCTAGCTATTGCGGAATCATCTGCATACATTTTAGGAATTGTTCATAGATTTAGGATGTGTGTTTAGGAATTTTCGGTTGTTATGAAAATTTGCTATTATTCCTATTTTTTTATTAATTTTTATATTTCCTTTTATTTTTTGGTTTATCACATATTTCGAATATCTAAATATTTCGAATAATAGGAATGTCTGGCTATTGCAAAGTATATAGTAGGAATTTTCTATGGACATTTTAGGAAATTTGTTCAGATTTAGGATGTGTGTTTAGGAATTTTCGGTTGTTAAAACATTTACAATAAATCCTAAGGTTATTTTTTAATTTTTATATTTTCTTTTATTAAATATTTCTAGTCATTGCGAAGTAAAAATAAGAAATTTTCTATATACATTTTAGGAAATTTGTTCATAGAATTAGCAATTTCCTATTCCTATAAATTAATTTTTTTAACATTTTTTTCTGATTCATTGAAAATTTGCAGTTATTGTGAAATAAATATTAGAAATGTTCTATGTAATGTTTAGGAAAATTGTTCTTAGACTTTGGTCATATTTTTAGAAATTTTCGGTTGTTATGAACATTTACCATTGTTCCTGTTTTTTTTTTCAAGTTTTACAGTTTGTTTTATTTTTGATATATCTAGCCGTTGCAAAATAAACATTAGGAATTTTCTATGTACATATTAGGAATATTGTTCATAGAATTAGGACATGTTTTTAAGTATTTTCGTTTGTTATAAAAGTTTACCATAATTCCTATTGTAATTTCCTTTATTTATTTTATTTATTTATTTTATTTTTTTTTGCATATTATATGTTTATTAAATATTCATAACTTTATAATTATTATCATTATTATTAAGCAATTAGGAATTGTATTTTATGTAATTTATATTTTTTTATGTTATATTTTTTATAATTTAAAAAAATCCTCATTTCAAAGTGAATATATTAACATTTAAATTATGTGGTTTAAAAATAATTAGAAATTGTATATATACATTTTAGGAAATAGTTCATAGATTTAAAACCGGTTTTAAGAATGTTTGGAAGTTATGGTAGCCTAACATTATTAGTCGAGGGGATTAGAACCCGGAAACCATTGCTTTATGGTCCAGCACACAATAGGCTCCATTTAGAATCATTTTTTATACCTCAGTCTTGTTACCGTCGTAACATTATATTTTAGATCACAAGTTTCTTTGGAACAAATCCGTTTAGGAATTTTTGGAGTCGATTTGTGACTGATGCGACAAATAAATCCTGAAGGGAGTAGCCTGCTCGATCTTAACTTTGTCCATCGCAATTTTAAATCTTGAAAAAATTACACAAAAGGTTCGACATTTAAAAAATTTGTACATCATATAAGAAGCTGATGGAGTACTTGATTTGATCCTAACCTAGCTTATTGAAACATAGTTTTCCAAATCCATGTATGGTCCTTCAAAGGTTCACAACTTGGAAAAGTGAGTAAATCTCATACGAAACGGGTATATCAAATTTTATCCAAACTTCTCACAGTTTTGTTAGACAGATTGTAACAAACCTTCGCCTTGTTTGAAGCTTCAAATTCGTATATCTCATTAGAAGCGATTGATTTGATCAAAACCTTGCACATCGTAATATTTTTTCAAACTTAGTTCAGAAGCGAAAATGGGCGAAAATGGGATACATGTAGCCTAAAGGTCTACTCCTTCCCAACAAAATTCTATATTTTTCATATAACATAGGCTGACTAATTATATTTCTTATTTTAATTTATATTTGGGATTTCAATAAATAATATTTATTTTTATTGTTATTGTTATTTATAATTTTTTTATAATTTGTATATTTTATAATTATTTATATAATACTTTTTATCGTGTGGAAAATACACTTTCTTAAACTGTAGCGTGACATATGAACATTGTATAAAACCCAACTCCATTTTAGTTATGACCTTCTTCTTCTTCTTTAGATAATCTTAATGGTTTGATGGTTGGCGGACACTTTACCCAGTGTCAAACTCAAATGCTAGAATTTTTACAACTTCATTAACTCTAATGTAATTAGAAACAGCAAAAAAAAAAATAAAACGATCACGTGTGAAATTTAAATAAAGTTATATCACTTAAACTCACTTTGGCTCACTTGGCCAAAAACTAACAGTTGACCAAACTTCTCATAATGATTGCAAAATGGACGAAAAAAAGTCCAATTACTATTGTTATTGCAATGCTGATGTTCATTTGGCGTGCCAGTTAACACTAGATTGCCGAGAGCAGTCATTTTGACGGTTTTTAAATTTCAAGTACAAAAACAATTGTGTATATTATGACTCAGCTTTTTAAAATTTGGTGACTTTTTCTACCACATAGAACTACGTTTATTAATCATAGTAGCTGCTTCCTCCCCTCTTTCATTCCCCGTATTCACATGTGCTATACCTAAATAGCCTAAAAGCGGTCATTTTGACCTTTTTGAAATATTAAATAATCAAACTACTTTTATTACTGTATAAAGTAAATTTATTATATGACCAGATCGGTACAACAACATCGAAACCCGTTTGCTACTCTAGAAACACATACGAACACACAAATCGGGAAAAATTAATTTTATATTTCCAGTCGATTTCACTCTTAGAGTAAAGTCTTCCTCTTTTTTCGAACGTTTTGTCCGCGCTCTTATTTTTCAAAAGGGGAAACCCGAGAGCCCTACCACCGAAAACAAATAATAACAACGTTTTGTATGATTGTAAATAATGTAACAAATATTAAAAAAATAGTTTAAAAAAATTTATTTACACAATAAAAAATTTTTCAGAATGAAGTCATTTTGACCGATTTTAGGCAATATAGGTATATACAAAATTCCCGTCTTTCTAGTGTTAAACATATAACGTTTGAAACGTTTCAAATGCTATTAGAAGTCATCGTCACACACACATACACATGTATGAGGTGAATAGTTTAGCTATCTAATCAGCAAATGTTTCATTCTAACCAAATATTGTCCTGGCAAACAAAATAACAATTTTTAATACTATTTTTCATATTTGCTTCCCTTGGTCATTTGAAAATTTAAGTGATTTTGTTGATGTTAGTTTTTTTCACCCTTATGTGGTTAATCACCAGGACTGCAGTGCTTGCTACCGCTGTTCCTGCTGATTGCATGGCTTTTGTATGCGCTATGATTTTAATTGGATCATATCCAGGTTATTATAACTGGCTTTTCGCAGTTTCCTTTATTGTTTTGTTGTTTGTCGTCCTTCCTTGATTGGCTACCCGTTTGGCCAACAACAACAAAAAAATGACATTATGATTAGACTTTTGTTTGGCGCAAAACTAATTTGCAGATTTCCAAAAAGCTAATTACATTTTGGCCAGTATCATTCACACGCATACTCATACATATATTTGTCCTCGTGTAGTGGAACGTGTCATGGATATGCAAAACATTGTTTGGTAATCTGCCAATAGTAGTCAACACAATAAAAACGGTGGCAATAAAATGCATTGTCATTTTGGCGCCCAACATAACTGGTTAATGTCTTCAAATGAAATATTATTACAATTGTTTTTGGAAGAAGAAATATTTGGAAAAATTAAATTAATTTTAATATTTTAATTAAATTTCCTCCTTATATGCTATACTTTTGGTATCCTTGCTTATTTAATGGTGTCATTCTCCTATGGGTTTGGTTAATAGAATATCAGGGGGTTTCGAATACATTTTATTTGGATAGGTGTAAACCTTATTTCCAAATAAGGGGCTGTCATCTATCGTTGCCTAGAAACAAAGTCTGCTTTGTTTTTGTGTGTAGCAGTTGGGGTCCTTGCTTATTTAATGCTGTCCTTCTCCTATTGATGCCGCTATGTCCTGGCTCTAAGTTTGGTTAATAGAATGTCGAGGGGCTTCGAATAAATTTTATCTGGAGGAGTGTAAACTTTTTCGGTATATACATTATATATACAGATTTCTCTTGTTCAGTGACTTATGCTAAAAATTGCACATGGAGACTTATTTTTGGCAAATGATACATAAATCACTTCTAAAACCACATTTTGTGGGAAAATTGTTAAAAATGTAATAAAATCGATTATTAACCCTAAAATGAGTTTTTTTAAAAAGATTTTTGACGTTTAGGCTGATTTATGGGAGAGGTTTTAGTGCATTTAAAATGATACAAATCATACAACAAAACATATTCCAAAATCGAACATTAAAGTGCTATGGTTCATAAAAAATAATGGATTTCTTTTCCCTTACCTAATTTATACACCGTTTTGAATGAGTTTTCAATCACTCCTGGAAAAGGGGAGCCAACTTGAAACTTTTCCCTTTAATGAGTCGGTTGAGGTTTAAAGTTGCATACCAAAATATTCCTCGATATTTTATCAGTAATATTTACGAAGTTTCATACGAAACGGATATAATAAATTTGATTCAAACTTCTTCTTCTAGCTTACGTTGGCCATGTTTGAAGTTGAGCCCTATGGGTCCACTCCTTCCCCACAAAAGATGTGAAGCGATTGATTTGATCACAACCGTGCGCATCGTATTATTTAATTCCAAACCTAGCTCAGAACCGAAAATGGGACTCATCGATTCACTCCTTTCAAGAAAAAAAATGTAATTTTAATTTAGGTCGGAAAATGGAATCTATAGGTACTCTATAGGGGGCCTGCGTTAAAAAGTTCTAAAAGTTTGAAATTTTGTACATGTCATAAGAAATTAGTACTTTTTAAGCCTATATCGAGTCCGAAGATTTATTGGAATTGATTCAAACCTTGCTCATCGCAGCCTCATAAGGACCCTATGAAACACCCAATTTATTGCAAACTTTATAATTTTTTTTTTTCTGAACATATCTCCGAACCGAAGATTGCCCGAAGATGGAATATATCTGTCCACTCTTTCAAGTTCGAATGTGGAGCCCATCGGTCAACCTTTCTGTTACTTTCCCACAGATATTCATCATTTTGAACTCGATTTTGACCGAGCTATGAGCCCCGATTTGAAAAAAACAAACTCTATTCCGACTACTTAGTAGGACAATTCGGTATACATGTATATTGCCATACCCTGAGTTTTATGCCTGCCGACCAAAACTTTCTATGTAAAGCCAGTTAGCGGAATAGTATAGTCGGACGGGCCGACTGTATGATACCCTACATTACTACCACTGAAATCTATGTTTCCAGCATTATATATTTCCATCACGATATTTGCATTCTCTTCATCGATTGTAGGTCATGAGCTCCACTTTCTAACCCTGACATATTTTCCAAATCTTGTTTTCCCGATGTGAATATATACGCCATAAAATACAAATTTGGTCACTTTAGGTTCTGGTTGATTTGACCCTCGGAATATTGACCGATCATAATCCCCTTCACCATGTGAAATATGTGATGTTCTGCATATAGTAATGACCTCTAGGGGCGACTAGAAAATCTGAAAAAATAAAGTTTTTGGTTCATTGCACCCCCTAAATATCATCTCAACTTCACTTTGACCAAAATCCGAATTTATGTAAAATTTCAAGGCGATCAGCGCGAAAGTAATACTAAACAATATCAGAATACTCTGACCCTTGTAATTATTTATGTAAAACTCCAACATCCCAGTACATGCAACAATCGATTTAAAGGCCAACCACTTCTTTTGGATATACTATCAACTTCTCGGGTCTTTGTCCTTCAGGAGTAAATATATATTCCTCAGAATACATAAAAATTGACCGCTAAAAATTGGCCATTCCTCATCAATCATTATGCTTATTCTATGGCTAGAAACTTCTATCTATGTAAAACTTCGTGGGTGAAAAACAGACAAAAATAAACGGTCATTACCAAAAACAAATAGGGGTCCTCTTTGGCCAGAACCCATCCTACATGCAAAATTTCGTGACGATTTTCGTCTGTATATGACCGGTATACTTAAAGGTGGATCTATGACCAATATTTTGCAGTGTTACAAACTCTTGGGGCTGCACAAAGTTATAATACCCTGACAACATGGTTGTGTATGGTATAAAATCGTCGTCTTCCTAAAAATTTTTAAATTTTTTTCCTCCGTAGAAATCTCTTACGATTTTCTCTATCCTATTATTCCGACAATGTAGCTTCTTTTGTTAAATTTAAATTCGTACATCATCAATCATATGTTAGTTCGTTTCTACCAGTTATACCATACACACATACATAGTTTGATGCAGTGACTTTGTAGTTCATAAATACCATCATCATCTTCATCATCAGCAGCATTGTCATTGTGGAACTAACAAAATCTCAAATCAAACCAAAGCAAAAAAATCCGAAACATAACAATGGAAAAATATTCAAACGATTGCATTGATTCTTCATACACCACCAGTATTTCAAAACAATTCTCCAAAATCATGTTCATATATCATTCGTGTCATGCCAACAAAAAAAACCGAAACAGAAACAAACATTCATACAATCATCACAGAATGCGGAATGCTGGGAAAAAAATTCCTTTCATTTCTCACAAAAGAAAAATTTCTCACTCTCTCTCCTTCCATCCTCTCATCGTAGTGTTATCTGATCCTTTTTTGCAATACAATTTCATTTGTTTTTTTTACTAATATTTTTTCTTCTCTCCATTCTTCTAGTTCGCACACAAATCATTCAGCCACCAGTTGACACCACTGTTCTGCTGGGCCTTACCGCATCGTTGCAGTGTAAGGTCTCCAGTGATCCAACAGTGCCATACAATATCGATTGGTATCGTGAAGGTCATCCATCGCCCATAAGCAATTCACAACGCATTGGTGTCCAATCGGATGGCACACTGGAAATACAAGCGGTACGAGCCTCTGATGTTGGCACCTATGCCTGTGTTGTAACATCGCCGGGTGGCAATGAGACACGGTCGGCACATTTAAGTGTCATTGAACTGCCATTCCCGCCGAGCAATGTAAAGGCAACACGTTTAGATGGTGCCAATCAACGTGCCATAAATGTATCCTGGACACCCGGTTTCGATGGCAATAGTCCAATATCGAAGTTTATTATACAGAGGCGTGAAGTGTCGGAATTAGGTAAGTTCGTTTGAATGTGTTTGTGTTTCTTTATATTATTTTTAGGTGTGTGTATGTTTAAGGTTTTTGTCTATTATTTCCTAATGGAATTTTTTGCATGAGTGTATTGTTTGTGTGACATACAAACACACATGTTTTTTTTATTTCGCATTATGATTAAAGAATTTCTTTATCATGTTTTCGGGGTGTTATCGTTATTCTATGTTATGTATTCGTATATTTATTTTTATAATGTTTTACACGAAATATAAACATAAAGTGACATTTTTTATCGCTCTATTATCGTGAAAATATTCATGTTAGTATTTTTTATGTATGTATGCCACTCGAAGTAAATGGCAATACGAAAAGTAGGACAATATTTTTTTGCAGGAAAACATTTGTTTTAAATGAAATCAATAATATATTAACATTTTTAAATTAAAACATTTTTTAAATATTTTGTTTTCAACCAAAAAAACAGGTTGATTTTAGATAAAATGTTCATGCCCTCAGATCAAAGTTTTTCGCATTGTCCTTATATTATGCACCCGACTGATTATAGCTCCTAACCACTTCTTCCAAACGAAATCGCTGCAGTTTGGTATTTCAATATCAGGTTAGACATGGACCCATATAGTTTAAGTTAGATTGAGAGGAGAGTTGTCTACCAACAACACCAGAATTTAACATACCCTTTAGGTTATTAGAAATAGTTAGAAAAACTTGAGGCTGGACTCCCTTACCTTCTACGAGTTTTGTGTTCTTATGGAAGTTCTTCAGTTTTTCCCATTCACATCCCCTCATGACATTTAGATCATGAAAAGTGTCATTTACCAAGAAGGTTTCCAAAAGCTGAATAGTGACATAAGAAGTTTTATAGTTTTCCGCGCATGCTCTGCACTTGCTGTTTCCTTCGCATCCCATCACGAGCAAATATGCCTACAGGTTTTTGTTTCTGCCGCACTGCGGCGAGTACATTTTTATTGCCCCAAATATCAGATTATTCTGATTTTATGCATTTGGAATTTCTATCCCAATTTTCCTTCTCTGAGAATTCAATTCGGATTCATTGTTTAACCTAGCCCCTGCCTATAGATTTCGTCCTATTTTAATTATTTCAATGATCCTGATGCTGCAATAAATTGGCATAATTGGCATAAGGTATTGAAACATTCGTTTCTAAAATATAGAGGTATAAACATGGATCTAACACAGGGGCAACACTTTGGTTTGTGGTATTTAAGTTAATTATTTTAAGATTTCGGTTCCTTTGAAGAATTTCATGTGCTTCCTTGAATCAACTTTTCTGTAAGCAACCCTGGCATTTATGTCGCATTCGGTTTATATAGAAAGAGCTGGTCTATAAGTACAAGCTTGTAAATAATATGGAATACCGACTCTCCTCTGGCATTTATGCATCTTCAAAAATTTTCTCATTTGAGTTTAATCTCTTTTTACTTCTGATATTTCTTTAGATTTAAAAATAGTAATTTAACCCAATCCATGCAATATCCTCCATGGGAAGATGCATGTGTAAATTGTTCTTCATGTCTGGAAGACAAAAAAAGCTGAATACATATTTAAAAAATTTTTATAAATTTAACTTTCTTTATTATCAAAACAACTTCAAAGTATTCCAAGATTCTTATTAAACCCTTCTCTACAATTCTGCAAGAAAAAAAAACAACATAATTAATTATACAACTTTTTTTGAATTTTTACAAAATATAACTTTGAAGCCAAACCACATCTAGTTGAATATTTTCACGGTACATATAGCGATAAAAATATACTTTATATTATGTATGTATGAGTGTGTGTGTGTGTGAATGAGTGTTTAAGATATGCATGTCTACAGCAAAGTTACAAAACATTTTAAGAGAAATATGGAAAAAACAATAAGATGTAAATACAGTCGACTCCATGTATATGGAAAGGAAAATAATATTATGAAACTATGTCTGTCCAATTGACACGAAATTTTGCATGGGCTTTACACTTAAATATCCTTAAAATACTGTGTTAAGATTTAGATATAACTAAGCCAGAATGTCTTTTGTCAAGTTTGCTTTAATCGGTTCAAATGTCAATATAGCTTCCATATATCGTCCGATTTTTCATAAATGATAAAGCAAACACGCTTAGGATTTTTCGAAACATTTGAATTTTAGGTAAACCTAAAATGCAAGGTTTTCGAAAAATCCTAATCCGAATATTTTCAAATCTCTTAAAATGCGGGAATATTGCCTCGCCCTATTTAGCTTACCTCCCGACGTATACTTTCAAAACGCCGATACACGTATTATCTATTAGGTTGGGGAAAAATAAATCCATTATTTTTATATGAATTATATGACTATATTTAACATGCTTCGGAATGTCGGATTTTGGCCAAATATGCACCGTTTTGTTGTATTATTTGTTGCCATTTCAAAGCTAACATCCTAATGCCTCTCTCATAGAAGTCCTGCTCTCTATTTGCAAAAACGCTAGTAGTCGATTTTCACAATCCTCCCTAAATACCGAGAGAATATTCCTTTGAGAATATGCGTAGAATCACTTTCTGAGTCGATTTATGCATGTCCGTCCGTCCAAGTATTTTTGTGAGCAAAGTACAGGTCGCATTTATGATCCCATTTGGATGAAATTTGGCACAGGTCATTATTTGGCCCAAGAACGAACCCTATTGAAATTAAAGAAATTCGGTTCAGATTTAGATTCGTCCGATTTTAGGTAAATTGTGCACCAAACTCGCAAAATTTGTCCGATTGAGACAACATTTTGCCCAGCGTACTGAATTCAGTCCAGTCTGATGTCAGCTAAGTTTTGTTGAAATCGGTTCAGATTCAGATATAGCTCCCATATATAGTTTCGTCCGATTTGATGTAAATAGTGCACCAAGCTCCCAATATTTGTGCGATTAAGTCAACATTTTGCACATCGTACTGAATTAAGTCCAGATTGATATATGTGCAGTTTCATTGAAATCGGTTCAGATTTACATATAGCACCCATATATAGTTTCGTACGATTTTAGGTAAATGGTGCACCAAAATTTTGCACAGCGTACTGAATAATGAAGTTTTGTTAAAATCGGTACAGATTTACATATAGCTCCACATACATTGTTTTGCTTGCTTTCATACAAATGGTATACAAAAGAATCCGATTGACATACAATTTTTCACAGATTTCCAAATGGTATTCACATACCATTTGACATTGTATGTCATAGATTTCCGTATGGTATGTGAATGGGTTTTTTAATTGGTTCAAATCACACATTTAGTTTCGGCCCATTCCATTTCAATGGTCCTCAAAAGATTATATGTCTGTTCTATCTACACGATATTGTATATATTAGCATCTCTTGTATGTATCCGAAGTGGTGAAGGGTATCATATAGTCCGCCCGTCCGATTTTCGTCACCCTTCCAACGAGAATACATCTGAAATTGTTTGATCAATACTTTACGAAAAATCTATCAGTACAGCCATCTGGCGAAATAATGGATTTCTTTTCCCCAACCTAATATTTTTAATTCCTCTTTCATTATTCGGTGGAATTTACCTGTTATTTTTTTTGTGTTACACTGTGTTATATATTATAGGTTATACAAATATTTTTGAGAGTACATACCCAAAGCGCTGTAGGGTATCATATAGTCAGCCCAGTTCGTTCTGGGTCCTTCCCTTATTGCTTACTTATATATCATTATATTTTTATTCCTTAACATTTCCATTTATATGGACTCGACTGTATTACATTATGAATATATTTGTAATATTTTTGTTGTTAAGATTTCGCTTTTTAAACAGCCCAAACATAATAATAATAGAAGCACGCCTGCCTGCATTGTTCAAATACTTTTTTTTGTTAAAACACACAAACAAAAAAAACTTTTCTCAACATAACAACAAAAATAATGGTTTTTATGTTTTATTATTTCTTCTTCTTTTTCCCTTTTCATTATATATGTGTGTGTGTTTTGTTAAAACTTTGGCTTTTGAAAAACACCAACATCAACAACAACACGAACAACAACAACAACAATATCACACATAAAAACAATGCAAAACAATTTTCATACACATAATCGCAAACACACATGGAAACGGATGTGCTGGCTCCTACGGTTATTCAATTCACCAAACCAAACACCCTCCCTAACACTCAACCACCCACCAACCATACCCATCATATGTTTCCAACTCTTCACGACTTTTTTTATTCGGTTTTTTGGGAAACAACTTTCTGCTATCACCAACAACAACCATTGTCGTTATCACACTACGTCATCATCATCACCAACATCCTCGTCATTGCTGTTGTTACCACCACTCTCTTTATCCTCCAACTGACAATCACCTAAACAAAAATGCCTCAAAACCTTAAAACTAAAAACTTATTTATATTTTTTGTTGTTGTATTTTTTTAATCTGCATTTCATTGTTTCCGAATTGCATTGGTTGACTGGCGGCCGTTTGCTTTGTTTCTATTCTTTTTTTCATTTCAAAATTTTTTTCATCGATTTCCGTTTATTTTTCCATTTGATTGCTTTTTATTTACAAAAATTGCTTCTATTTTTACAAATTTTTTTTTTTTTTAATTTTCGTTTCATTGTTGTGACGCATCTTTGCTCTATTCATCTGTGTTTTGTAATGAAAATACAAAAACAATGCATTTTTATATACCTTTGAAAAACAATTTGGTTTATTATTCTTGCTCCCAATGACCTTCATTTCCCTCACCTCTTCCGCCTTTTAAAAAATTTTATTAATTTTTTATAATTTTCATTTTACACTTCATTTATTTTCCTACCTCCAATTTCCCCACTTCACATTCTCTAACATTTCCCCAATCCCCCCCTAACATTTTTCATTTTTATTTTGTATTCGTTTTCTTAAACCTTCGTTCAAATTCATTAACGCCATTAGAAAAATTCGTAGGTCCCGTACCAGATCCCTTTCTTAATTGGATAACCGAACTTAGTAATGTTTCGGCGGAAAATCGTTGGATTTTATTGGAATCCTTAAAGGCGGCCACCGTTTATCAGTTTCGTGTCAGCGCTGTCAATCAAGTTGGAGAAGGTTCGCCTTCGGAGCCGAGTAATGTTGTGGAATTGCCACAAGAAGGTAAGTCATTGAAATATAACTCTGATTTTTTTTTTAAAAATTAAGACCTTTTGCTTTTTTTAATTTATCAAAAATATTTTTTAAAAAATTAAAATTAATATTGTTTGAATATTTTATAATTAATTATTTTGAATTAAAACATATATAAAACATTATTTTTAATTTAATTAGCAAAAGGTCTTACATTGTATTTATATTATTTTTTAAAATTATTTTTTGTATTTATATTATAATTTAAGAATATTTTTTTTTAATTTTAATTTAAATTTGTAAAGGCCTATTTTTTTGTTAATATTTGTTATTATGTACTTCCTAAAAAAATAGTTTTTAATTTAATTTTATATTATTTTAGTATGGTGTATAAAAATAATTTAGTATATTATTATTATTTTTTTTTTTGTATAATAGGTTAGGTTAATCTTATCGTAGCATGAGCTTTTTAATATAGGTTCTACCTTTGAAAACATATTTTTCTTCCTCCAAAAGACAAAAGTTTCATTTGAAAAAAAATAGTTTTTTTGGAAGACAGGAAGAGAAAAAGATATTTCTCAAATTATTCTCAGCCAAACTTTTATAAAAAAAATATTTTGAAAAGTCTACAGGATGATACACTGACTATACCTACACTCCCATAACCTCAACTTTTGATCCAATTAAAAATCTGTTTCATACAATTTGGAGTTGATTCCAAAAATGACCGCCTAACTTCCGCACACAACAACTCTAAATGGGAGTTACCGATTTGGTCGATAATAAGTTTTCAAAACATTAGATAATTTTGAAAATGGATTCTGCTACTTCTTTCATCCTTACATGCACATCATGATATAAATACGAGAGCAGTTCGGAAAGCTCTTAGCCTAACACAAAAAGAAAACTTCCATTTCTGTCATGAACTCATGTTAAATTTTGTTTCGATCTGGCAACTCCTTCATATATATACAGGTGTCAAAAAAAAGCATCCCCAATTTTTTACAATGGAAAAATTAGAAATGCTTGCTTGCATTGTAAAAAAATTGAAGGAGTTGCCAAATTGAAACAAAATTTAACATGTCTTCACTAGGATAGCCATTAGTTAATCACATTGGTGTCCATAACGTCTTCCTCTTCTGTCAATGGTGAGTAATCCCAGAGATGAATCGGGATAATCCCCTGACTAAGGCGGAAGTAGCCGGCTTCATCGGGACCCTGACTGCAAATTGTGAACACTGATGGGAACGAGGTATCCTAACACCCCACCGTTAGACTGTCACTATGGAAGGGAATGACCTAATATCTGAAAATGGATATTTAGGGGCGCTATTCTCGCCCTGTCAGTCCTGGGATCATAAGCACACGGTCATTTCCTCCTAAATCATCTATCAAATTCAAGTTTTGACATTTACACGTCTTGGAGATGAGGCCTTGAGTTGTCCACCGGTGAAGGTACAAACATTTGAAGATATTCCAGGGGCTTGCTCAAACGTTTTCTTCCCTGATGTTACATTTTCCACGGCTCGCATTATTTGGAATGTCCCCGAAAATCAAAGTGGTAAAATGTTGGCCCATCAAGTGACGTATTCTCTTAATGAAACCTCCAGCTTGAACTATAGTAGTAAATTTTTATCATCAGATAGTACATTCCGTGCTACACAACTTTTGGCGTAGCGTTAATACATTTTCAGTGTTTCTGTTTGGGTTTGGAGCAAGACAGTTTCGGTGTTGATCTATACCACCAATATTCATGAACGACCCCAACCATCCTTAATGCGTCAGATATTCAGACATCAAATTCAGGATCATCAAGTTATTTTCAATTTGACACCGGATAGAGATCGATTTGCTGCCTTGAGAGTTGATCCCCCTTTGACTTCTTATACCGCAACAAATTTAAAACCTCACACCACATATCAATTATATACAACGTAACCTATTATCAAATGGGAAGTTATGTTTATACCCAAAATGTTTTTTAGACCTCCTTGAATAATCTAACCAAAAGTGCGTAGATCTTGGGAATGTGATTATGAGGTTGCCATCGACTTTTTAAATTGGGGTAACCAGTTTCGATTTTAATTTACAAAATGTATAATATATAATAATTTTATGTTTGTATATAATAATAATAGTTTTAAAAAATCTCCGCAGCTAGAGAACAAGCACCGTAGTATTACGCTATCAGAAGTAATGATAAAAGTCTATATATTATTTTATTTTCATTATTTTCAAAATGATCCTTTTCAAAATTCTCCCAAAATAGTAAAATTTACTACAATTTCATTTAATTTTGATACCATTTTTAATACTTTTTATTATTATTATTATTTATTTTTTCTTAATTTCAAATATTCTGTTTCAATGCAAAGCTTTTTATTTTCAAAATTTCCAACAAAAATAGTCAAAACAAAAATGCTAAATATTGATAAACACCTATTAAATGCCAAATTAATCATTGCTAAACATTTTTCTCTTACCCTTCACTGCATCTGTGTGATTGAAACAAAAATAAATCGTAGAATTACCGCTACATCGAGGTATATATATTGTAAAAATAAATTGTATAAGCTTTTTTATATATATACATATATAATTCTAATAATGAATCCCTCTAAAATGCAAAACCACCATTTATTAATATACATTCTTCTCTTATCACCACCACCATCTCTAGCACCCTCTGGCCCACCCGTTGGATTTGTTGGTTCAGCTCGTTCACAATCGGAAATTATAACACAATGGCAACCGCCATTAGAGGAACATCGAAATGGACAAATCTTAGGTTACATTATACGATATCGCCTCTATGGTTACAACAATGTACCCTGGATGTATCAGAATATAACCAATGAAGCTCAACGGAATTATCTCATACAGGAACTCATCACCTGGAAAGATTATATAGTACAAATTGCTGCCTATAATAATATGGGTGTTGGTGTCTATACTGAAGGTGCTAAAATAAAAACCAAAGAAGGTGTACCCGAAGCACCGCCCACCAATGTTAAGGTACAGGCCATTAATTCCACTGCCATTAAGGTGACATGGACACCACCCAATCCCCAACAGATAAATGGTATAAATCAAGGCTATAAGATACAGGCATGGCGTACGCAACGTATCGATGGTGAAGATCGTGAAGTGGAAGAGAAAATGATGACAGTGCCACCAAGCTTGCTAGATCCTTTGGCTGAACAGTCGGCCGTATTGGGTGGTTTGGAAAAATTCCAAGATTACAATATTACGGTATTGTGTTTCACCGACCCCGGTGATGGTGTTCGTAGTTTCCGTATACCCGTCAAGACCAAAGAAGATGTACCCGATGAAATAACAGCCTTACATTTTGATGATGTATCGGATCGTTCGGTAACCGTGCTATGGGCTCCACCCAAAAATATAAATGGTATTTTGACAGGCTACACGGTGCGTCACCAGGTCAAGGATCGCCCTGAGACAATGAAATCTGTCAATCTAACTGCCGAAGATACCCAGCTTGTGGTTAATCAATTGCAAGCCACAACACATTATTGGTTTGAAATAAGAGCATGGACTCGAGTTGGAGGTGGTCCGCCCAAAACAGCAACCATACAATCTGGGGTTGAGCCAGTGCTTCCCCATCCTCCCACAAATTTGGCCCTCTCCAACATCGAGGCCTTTTCGGTGGTTCTACAATTTACACCAGGTTTTGATGGTAACTCTTCAATAACAAAATGGAAAGTTGAGGCTCAAACTGCTCGCAATATAACCTGGTTCACCGTCTGTGAAATATCCGATCCAGATGCTGAGACATTGACGGTGACTGGTCTAACACCATTTACCCAATATCGTTTGCGGCTAAGTGCCACAAATGTGGTTGGTACATCTAAACCCTCCGAACCCACAAAGGATTTCCAAACCATCCAAGCCAGACCCATGCATCCACCATTCAATGTGACAGTTCGTGCCATGTCGGCCACACAATTGCGAGTGCGATGGATTCCCTTGCAACAAACCGAATGGTATGGCAATCCTCGCGGCTATAACATTACCTATCGCCAGGTGGAAAGTGATAATCGCATTACACCCAAAAGTGTTCTCATCGAAGACCACACCGCCAACTCACATGTCCTAGAAAATCTCGAAGAATGGACTGTCTACGAAGTTTCAATGACAGCCTGTAATGATGTGGGCCAATCACGTGAAAGTGTCATTGCTGTGGAACGGACCAGAGAAGCTGTACCCTCCTACGGTCCGCTAGATGTACAAGCCAATGCCACATCTTCCACAACAATTGTCGTCAAATGGGGTGAGGTGCCGAAACAGCATCGCAATGGACAAATCGATGGCTACAAAGTTTTCTATGCGGCCACAAATCGTGGAGGTCAGGTGTTACACAAGACCATACCAAATAACAGCTCCTTCACCACCACCTTGACAGAACTTAAGAAATTTGTTATCTATCACATTCAAGTATTGGCATTTACACGTCTGGGGGATGGTGCCCTGAGCACTCCACCGGTGAGGGTACAAACATTTGAAGATACTCCGGGAGCTCCCTCAAACGTTAGCTTCCCCGATGTGTCGTTTTCCACAGCCCGCATCATTTGGGATGTTCCCGAAGATCCAAATGGCGAAATCTTGGCATACCAAGTGACATATTCCCTTAATGGAACCTCCAGCCTGAACTATAGTCGAGAATTCTCGCCATCAGATCGTACATTCCGTGCTACACAGCTTTTGGCAGAGCGTTATTACATATTCAGTGTTACCGCTCAGACACGTTTGGGTTGGGGTAAGACGGCATCGGTGTTGGTCTATACCACCAATAATCGTGAACGACCCCAACCACCCTCAATGCCCCAAATATCCAGAAGTCAAATTCAGGCTCATCAAATAACCTTCAATTGGACACCGGGTAGAGATGGATTTGCACCCTTGAGATATTATACCGTGCAAATGCGTGAGAATGAGGGACCCTGGACTTTACTGCCAGAACGAGTAGACCCCTCTTTGACTTCTTATACCGCAACAAATTTAAAACCACACACCACATATCAATTCCGTATACAAGCCACTAATGATTTGGGACCCTCGGCATTTAGTAGAGAAAGCATTATTGTGAGGACACTGCCAGCAGCTCCCTCAGTACCGGTTACCAATCTTAAAGTTGTACCCATTACCACCACCTCAGTGAGAGTGAAATGGAATGCCTTGGAAACCTCGATGTGGAATGGTGATGCCACAACTGGAGGTTATCGCATTTTGTATCAACAGTTATCCGATTTCCCCACCGCCCTGCAGGCAACACCCAAAACCGATGTAATGGGTATTAATATTGATTCAGTGGTATTATCCGATCTACAACAGGATCGTAATTATGAAATTGTTGTGCTGCCCTTCAATTCCCAAGGGCCTGGTCCCGCAACACCTCCTGTCGCAGTTTACGTTGGAGAAGCCGTTCCCACAGGAGAACCTAGAGCGGTTGATGCCGCACCCATATCTAGTACCGAGGTACGTTTACGCTGGAAACCACCAAAGCAAAGTATGCAAAATGGTGATCTATTGGGTTATAAAATTTTCTATTTGGTAACCGATTCACCGCAAGAGCTCGAGGAGGGTAAATCGTGGGAAGAAGAAATTGAGGTTGTCTCAGCAACTGCCACATCACACAGTTTGGTGTTTTTGGATAAATTCACCGAATATCGTATACAAATATTGGCCTTCAATCCAGCCGGTGATGGGCCACGTTCAGCACCCATAACTGTCAAAACGCTTCAAGGCCTGCCGAGTGCACCACAAAATCTCCGCTTTGAAGACATCACAATGCAATCGCTGAAGGTGTCATGGGATCCACCGAAATTCAAAAATGGTGAAATATTGGGGTATTTGGTTACCTATGAGACCACCGAAGAAAATGAAAGTAAGTTCAATAGTTCATTATTTTAGGAAATTGTATTAAAATTTGATTATTTTTTGTTTATATTTTTCCAGAATTCAGTAAACAAGTCAAACAAAAAGTCTCTGGTACCAGTTTATTGGTACAAAATCTGGAGGAAGAAGTCACTTACACTTTCACCGTAAGGGCTCAAACAATTGACTATGGCCCAGCGGTTAGTGAAAACGTTACAACCGGACCCCAGGATGGTTCCCCAGTGGCACCCAGAGATTTAATTCTATCCAAAACATTATCCAGTGTAGAAATGCATTGGCTGAATGGACCATCAGGACGTGGACCCATCTTGGGTTATTATATTGAAGCCAAGAAGCGAGGTGAGTATCTACAATAAATATGGGTTCGGGAAGTGGATAATTTTTTTTCATTCTTTAATGGATTTGGTTTTTGAATACTTCATAAATTAAAATAATGGTGGAAGGATTGTTTCGATATTTAGTTTTAAGTTTTTAAAATAAACTACTCATTAAATGGAGTGGATGGAATGCATGAATTTAAATTAAGATACGGATTTGTTTATGCTATTTTCAAATTCATATTTAAAAATATTTTTAAATTACTATCAGACCCAATATTTTGATTTAATTTTAAATAATTTTCGAATGAGATGTAAGCCTTTTTTAAATATGTTTTGAAGGGCATATAAGTCTTGGATTAGAACAAATATTTTTTGAAGGAATGTCAGACATATTAGGGCTCAGTTTTTAAAATATTTCTTAAATGCTTTAAAAAATATTTTTGAAAGTAATAACCGCATTACACCAAAAATTGTAATCATCGTAGACCAGACTGCCAATTTATATATTCTGGAAAATCTATCTATGAGTTTTAAATGACAGTCTGTAGTGAAAGTGACATTGCTGTGGACGGACCCGGAAACTGTACCCTTCTAGGTTTGCCGGATATACAAGCCAACGCCACAACAATTTTCGTCAAATGGGCGATCGTGGAAGGTCTAATAGACATATACGGGACGTTCTTTTAAATATTTTTGAAGGACAAATTAGCCCTTCATAATCCAGGCTAACAAATCCACCTAAGACAAGATATTCACACTGGGTAAAATCCTGAAATGATTCCCTATCGAGCAGGTCTGAATAGCATTCAGAAATAATGCAGAAACAATGCCGTACAGAAGGTCTTCATCCGTTGGAAGATACACACATGGTCTGTCTGATATTGGGGTCCTTTAGAAGACTATCTATGTACAGATATTATTTCAAACAATATATATATATATATACTCCTGAACTTTTTATAAATATTGAAAATAGTCTAGCTCAATTTAAGATTGATTTGAATGCTAAATATCAAACACAATCCCTCCTATCATTCTATTTCAAAATAATCAAAAACCCTGGTTGTTGGAAATATTATTTATTTTATACAATTCTTTCTCTTTTAAAAAATCTTCTTCTTCAACTAAATCCCAAAAAAAATTACTTTTGCTATGCTGGTGTTAAAATTAAATCTGCTTTTGTAGAACGAGGCGAACCATCATTTATTTGTAAGTATTGGCCGGTAGAAACAGAAACTTAAATATTTACATATATAATATTCTCTATACGCTGTAGTTATCCCAAATCATATAAACTTTTTTGTAGATAACATAAATATATAGTAACATTAAAACCCTTTAACTAATGCTGTCTTTTTAAAGCCCATCCCTAGATAATGCTAACAACCCTATATTTTAAAATATTATAGAAACCTAAACAGAAAAAAATTATTTAAAACGTATGCTAATAAATTTCGTTTCGTTTTTTTTAATAGACGACTCCCGTTGGGAGACAATAACGAAAACCACCACCGGTACAATACAAGACTTTACAGTTAGTTATCAAAGTCTATTACCCTCAACTGCCTATACATTCCGGGTTATTGCCTATAATCGCTATGGCATCTCATTTCCCGTCTATTCAAAGGACTCGATATTGACACCCTCCAAACTGCATTTGGAATATGGTTATCTACAGCACAAACCATTCTATCGTCAAACATGGTTTATGGTGGCATTGGCTGCCACCTCAATTGTCATTATAATAATGGTAATTGCGGTGTTGTGTGTTAAAAGTAAAAGCTATAAATATAAACGTAAGTACGGCATTTTTTAATAAACAATTTAAATATTAATTTTTGTTGTTTTTGTTTTTTACAGAGGAAGCTCAAAAAACACTTGAAGAATCAATGGCCATGTCCATTGATGAACGCCAAGAATTAGCCTTAGAATTATATCGTTCACGTCATGGTGTTGGCACGGGCACTCTCAACAGTGTGGGTACCCTGAGTCGTGGTACTTTAGGTACTTTGGGTCGTAAAAATAATAATCGTCCGCCAAATAATGTTCAATTGGGTAAAAGTCCGCCACGACCATCCCCAGCATCGGTGGCATATCACAGCGATGAGGAAAGCCTAAAATGTTACGATGAAAATCCCGACGATAGCAGTGTAACAGAAAAGCCATCAGAAGTTAGCTCATCGGAGGCGTCACAGGTAGGTTGAAAAGCAATAAGAACACAAGATATAAATTTCGAATGCTACTATTCCTAGGATGATTGGTATTAAAAATGAGTTATAATAGTCCACATTTTCGTTCAGGCCCTATATACAATTATGCCTTATTTTTGTTATTTTGAACGCTTTTAGAGGTAATTTTCAACAGAAGTGGCGGTATTTTGGTATTCCTGGCTCTTAGAGGTCGGTAAATTGAGTTGTTCTTTTCGGAGCAAACTCGTTCAAAGGAACTATTAAAAACCAGGAATGGAACACATGTTAAATTCTATTTCGATATGGCAACTCCTTCATATAGAAACAGGTGTTCAAAAACGACGCATACGCATTTTTTTACAAATGACACCTGTTTCTATATGCAGGAGTTGCCAGATCGAAACAAAAATTAACATGTGTTCATAACAGAAATGGAAGGTTCCGAAATTCTGTTTATACCGCGCTTTTTGTGCTAGGCTAAGAACTTTCCGAAAAGCCCTCGTAATGAGAGCTATAGAAATAACGAAAAAATGGCCCAGTTCCTTTAGCGGAGCGTATTGAAAAAGGTCGAACCGTTACAGAAAAGAGATTGCTCAACTCGAATACTCATATAAAGTTCTGTATTTATATTCTGTGGTACAGGGTATTATGTCCATATGTGATTCGAGATAGTCCCATGGTTCCTTTTGAGAGTATGCGTAGAATCACTTTCTAAGTCTATTTATGCATGTCCATACGTTCATGTATTTTTGGGCAAAGTATAGGTCGCATTTATGATCCGAATTATATGAAATTTATCACGGCTCATTTATTTGGCCCAAGAACGAACCCTATTGAAATTGGGAAAAATCTTTTCGGAATTAGATATAGCTCCCATATATATTTTCGTCCGATTTTAGGTAAATAGTGCACCATAGTCCCTATATATCATTCGATTTGCACGAAATTTGACATAGCGTACTGAATTAAGTTTAGAATAATGTGTACTAACTTTCGAGAAAATCATTTCAGATTTAGATAGAGCTCCCATATATTTTCGTCGGATTTAATGTAAATGGTGCAGCAAATTCCCTATATATCCTTCGATTTGCACGAATTTTTGCATAGTGTACTGAATTGAGTCTTGAATGATGTGTGTTAAGTTTCGAGAAAATCGTTTCAGATTTAGATATAGCTGCCATATATATTTTCGTCGGATTTTATGTAAATGGTGTACCATATCTTTCGATTTGCACGAAATTTGGCATGGCGTACTGAATTGAGTCTAGAATGACGAGTGCTAAGTGTCATGGAAATCGGTTCATATTTAGATATAGCTCCCATATATATTTTCGTCCGATTTTATGTAAATGGAGTACCAAAGCTCCTATATATCTTTCGATTTGTACGAAATTTGGTATATCGTTCTGAATTGAGCTGAAAAGTGAATGAGTTTTGAAAAGTTTCGTGAAATTCGGTTCAGATTTAGATATATCTCCCATATATATATATATATATATATATCTTTTGATTTACTAAAAAAACTTGGCGAGGCTTACTGAATTAAGTCTAAAATCATGCGTGTTAAGTTGCGTGAAAATCGGTTCCGATTTAGATATAGCTCCCAAATATAATGTAAATCGGCCAACAAGGTACTAAATAGAGTGTAGAATGATGTGTGATAAGTTTCGTGAAAATCGATTCGGATTTAGATATAGCTCCCTATATATTTTTTTTATGTAAATGATGCACCAAAGCCCATATATATCTTTCTATGAAGCCACTCTGAAACTTGTGACTAAGCGGAGAAAAAATATCTTGACTATATACATTTCATATTTTCTAATATAACATTTTTCATTTGCAGCATTCGGAGAGTGAAAATGAGAGCGTACGCTCCGATCCACATTCCTTTGTCAATCATTATGCCAATGTCAACGATTCACTGCGACAATCATGGAAGAAAACGAAACCGGTACGCAACTATTCAAGCTATACCGATTCAGAACCCGAAGGCAGTGCAGTGATGAGTCTCAATGGTGGTCAAATTATTGTTAATAATATGGCCAGATCGAGAGCACCATTGCCTGGTTTCTCATCTTTTGTCTGACAATCTACAGAATTGTAAGATTTAGTTTCAATTAACAATTTTATTGTCCTTCTCCTGCCCCCGTTATCTCTCATTATACCTCTTCATCATAACTGAAACAAACAATCACATCATCAATACATTTATTAACATTACAACTACTACTACTGCTGCTTACACCGTAAGCACACAGTAACTACTTACAAATCATACAAAGAACATATTTTTACTTTCGAAACGAAAACAAAAAGGATAACAAAAAACAAACCGCGAAATATGAAACAAACACAAAAGATGATGAAAACAAATGTCTGCCTATATATATATATATATATATATATATTTATTTATTTTTATTAGTAATTAAATATTGTATGTAGATCATAAGTAAGAGACCGATTCTAATGAAATTTATTAGATAATTAAGCTAAAGATGAAATAATGAACAAGAAAGAACTTTATTTATATTTAGTGAACGAGACAACTAGGTATAGTGCGGTACCAGAGATGCATTAATTTTGTAATTTTTTTCTTTTCCATATTTTTTTCGTTTTGTGTTTTCATATACCACATTTCATTTCATATAATTTATTAGACAAATTGTATGTTATTTTTTTTTAGTTTATTTTGTGTTTATTGTCTATGACAACCACTGTGCTGCAGCCAAAAATAAAAACTTTATAAGTGATACAGATTCTAATGTTAACTTTAGCGGTTCTATATAAAATCAAAAATTGTTACTTCGAAACCTCGGCAATTTTTCATTAATGAAACTTGAGTTATATGGAAATTGTATTTGAGTCAATTGTCAGTTTGCGGGCGATAGATGTTAAGGCCTGTCATTCTCTTCGGCTCTCTCACCTACCATGTACTAAATTGAGGCAATTAAAATTTCTAATGGAAATCATTACTTAATTGAAAATATGAAGATGAAAATGAATATTTCCTTTCCTTAAAAATCCTTTTTTAAGTCTTATATTTCGGCAATATCCTAAAATTTTAAACCATTTGATATTCCACATTTAAATTTGCACTTTAAGCTTGTTTACATTACAGACGATATCACTTGTAAAGTATATATATGAACATATTTTTTTTTGTAGCCATGTGTAATTTTTTAGAGCTTAAGATATCTATTGTTGAGATTTTAGACAACAAAACACATACAAATTGTTTTGTATGTTATGACATTTTGTTTTTTTAAAAGCTATTTCAAATGAATCATTATTAAGTATTATTCTGTTAATAGAATAATTTGCTTTATATAAAATTTAAAAAAGAGCTTCATTTAATAGCTTTTAAATCGAAACTAAAATCAAACGAAATTTCACCCCCTAACTACTTAACCTGACCCCTATCCTGTCATCCTTGTGAACTATAACAAATTTGAATTGTAAGAAAGAAAAAAACCAAAACGAAACAAAATTGTAACTAATTGTAAAACTTATATTTTTTCCTTGTTAACTATTATAAAAAATTAGTTATTTTATCGATTGCAAAAAAATATTCAGAAATGAAAACAGATACCATAGTTGGATAATTTATTTCGAATTTGAAAAATTGTTTGGCAATTCCATACAAATTCTCCAGAAACAGACTTACAAAAATCCTCCTCAGACATACCTTTTCTATTGCCATATCTTTTCATTATCGACACTTTCATATAAATGCTAAATATGGACGTGTTAAAATATGGATTGAATAAATAGTTTTTGAGTTAATGCGCCCGCCAATCGCGAAAACACTGTTTCGAGAAAAAACCCATTAAAGTGTTGAGAAAGGCTCTCTCTCTATATCTCTGGCACTTATCGCTTACACAATATATCGATTATATCTTCAGGAGGTTTTGAAATTTTTAAGCATCATTTTGGAGTTATAGGTTCAAATTAAAAAATAAAAAAAATCGAATTTTTGAAACTGAGAATGCGTAGCTCCCATGGAATACTTCGTTATCTTTCGACTTTAAATCAGTAAATTACATTTCACAGTTAAATATAAATTTCAATATTGAAACTATTAGCCCAAATTTAAAAGACGAGGGTTAATGGACAACTCAGTCTTAGGGACAAAATACCCTGAAACTTTTATACACATATACTCTGAGACTTTTATAGGAAATATCCGTCTTCAGGATTATTGCTCGCATATAATTTTGATTTTCCTATTTATAACCAATCCATCTCGCTGATAAATCTCAACATTGATTTAAGGTCCTATTCATTTTTTCTTATAGTATCAACTCTTTCTAATTTTTTTTTTTTTTTAAATTTTTGAAACAGCCTTATTTCTTAGTTTGGATTATTTCATTAAGTACAATTTCCACCAAAGACGGCAAAAATCCATACCAAACCTTATTTTTAAACCTCTTCGCCGAAGATTTTTTTAAATTGGGGACCAGAATCGCTAAGTAATTTCCAACTAGCAATGCTGTGTAGAAAGCCCTACAGTATTCCTGTGAAACCTTATTATTGAAACTTATACCCGAATATTTATTCCCTACCCTATACCCAACATAGTTGTTGTCAGGGTATTATAGCTTTGTGCAGCCCCAAGAGTTTGTAACGTCGCGAAATATTGGTCATAGACCCACCTTTAAGTATACCGATAGTCATTTCTCTACCAGCTGAGTCGATCTAGACATGTATGTCCGTCCGTCCCTCTGTCCTGACTTTTGCGTGAAAAAGAACAAACATTTTATTCAATAGCGTACATATTTACCCCTGAGGGAAATGGACCCGAGAAGTTGAAAGTTTATCCAAGAGGAGTGGTTGACCTTTTAATTGATACCAATTATATTGTCGTATGTACTCGAATGTGGGAGTTACACTTAAATATTGCTGAAGAATTCCGTTATTATTTAGTAACCCATTACCACGTAGAAGGCAGAAATATTGCGCTGATCGCTTTAAAATGTTCCATGTGGTTCCAGTTATTGCCAAGGACAACGCCTATAATTTTCGGTGATGATCAGATAATTATTTTGGGATGAAATCGACCGAAATTTTATTTTTTTGGTTTTTTTTTTTCGAGTCGATCTGGCCACAATTTAAAACCGACATCACAACACAACTCACGGTGAAGGGAATCTGGACAAGTACCAGTAAATTAGAAGGACTGTACTGAATATTAGTAAAATTTGTTGACCTCTAGTCGGTCAAGAGGGTGTAAATATCGCGAATATTACCCAATCTTAGAATATAGAACCACAGAAAGTTAGATTTTTGTAGGATATCATATGGTCGGCCCCGTCCGACTATACTGCTCCGCTCACTGGTTTTAAAATTGTACATAGTTTCTGTACCAGTAGTCGTCAATTCTGTTCACGTACATCAGTTCATTTCACACAACCATAAAACTGTCAATATTTATCAAAACATTTTCGGTCATTTTTGGTCCTATATATCACAAAAATTCTGGTGTATTTTATTAGAAGTAAATTAACTACTTGTTGCGGTAAAAATTCAATTCTAACGAATCCCAGTGTATTGTTAATCGAAGCCCCTCTTTACATAAAAATCATTTGATGTATTTTAAATAATAAATCAGATCTAAGGGTAAAGGGAAGTAAAAGGAGAAACACATGAGCTTGAATTTTCTATGTTTAATTTTTTTCAAGGGGATTCGATTTTTTTATTAAATTCAAGAATTTAATAAAACCTTAGGGAGGGTCTCCTTTTATGCCAATCTACAAACAGTCATAATAAATTATTTTCATATACCAGTCTCTCTTGAAATTATGATTTTAACAAATGCCTAGGAATTTTAGGTAAAAAATTCACTCGAATTCGTTCAAATCGAAATTTTACAGGTTTCCCATTTATTGTTAATGAACAAAAAAAATTAAATAACCTAACTATGGTATCATTTTATTTATATTAAAGAAATATATCAAATAATATATTTGTTTGAATCTAGATTTTCAAACTTGTGATAATAAGACTTTTTCAATAAGAACTCAAAACAAACAAACAAAAATCACATCCAACGACTATACATTTCATTCTGTTGTTTGTATGTAATTTGCTATTTATTTCATAAACGAAATAAAAAGTTTAATTGATTTTTAGTTATTTTTTCGTGTATTCAAATTTCAGTTATTAATTAATTGTACAACCACAAAATACAAATTATTCGAACAATTGAAACAAACAAAAAAGAGTTACAAAACTCGTATAATTCACGGCCAGTTCTGTCAAAATGTTTAGTGCAATTCTGTAGCCTTTAGCCGAATTTATACAGCAAAAAATCGTCTTCTAATTGGATGTTGAATTTGTTTTGAAGCTTTACATCTTTTTTACTAATAAAATAACATAAAGATCTATTTTATTATTATTACTATTAAAAATGTAAAGAAAAATAATATCCACAGAATCGTGCTACTGAAACTACAATAAATTTTGAATAATTTGTAAATCACCATCGAAATCCCAAACAAAATACGAAATCATGTTTTTTATTTTTTCTTTTTTTTATCGAATTTTAATTTTATTAATTTGTGTCATTTCATTATCAGTTTTTTATTTTCTTATATTTCCCCCTTCTTTTATAATTGTATATTAAATAATTTATTAGCTTTTAAGATAACACTACAAATGACCAGACAAATCTCATAACAATTACAAAAAAAATAAATATATATTTTATCATTGTTCTCTCTGTAACTGTAATCATTAATAAAAAATAATAAAAAAGAAATGTGTAAATAATAACTATCAGCGAAAAACAACAAAAATAAATATTTAAAATTTATTAATTTTTTTACCGACAACTTTTTTATATAGACTTGTAAAATCCATTTAAATATCATTGTAATGTCATAGTTTCACTAAATAAGTATTTATATTTAAAAATAATTTATATGCAAGTCCTTTTTTAAATTGTAAATGAATTGCCTTTTTTAGTTAATTTTTTATTAATTTGTGTGTTAATTTAAGATGAAAAAATTAAAATAGATACAATCTATTTTTTATAATTTCCTCTTTTATGGCAAACTCTCTTTCTCCATAATTTAAGTTTTTCAAATAGGCCATATATGACATATATAAAAAAAACTGAAATGCAATTATTTTAA